TGGTTTCTTTTGCTGAGCAGAAGCTTTTTATTTTGATGTAGTCCCATTTGTTTATTTTCTCTTAGTTTCCATTGCCCAAGGAGCTGTACAGGTAAAGAAATTGCCTCGGCATATGTTCAGATTTTGCTGCCTGTGGATTCCTCTAATATGTTTATGGTTTCCCATCTTATGTTTAAATCCTTTATCCATTTTGAGTTTATTTTTGTGTATGGTGTAAGTTGGTGGTGTAGTTTTTTTTTCTTTCTTCTTCTTCTTTTCTTTTCTTTTTTTTTTTTTTTTTTTTTTTTTTTTTTTTTTTTTTTGCATGTATCTGTCCAATTTTCCCAACACCATTTATTGGAGAGACTATCTTGACTCCATTGTATGTTTGACAAGAGAGGCAAAGTCCTTTTGAGTCTTGCATTTAAGCTGTGTTAAGGTAGGCCCAAATCAGTTTGTTATTTTTATTATTTTTAATCTTTACCCAAGGATATTTACTTTTTAAAAAGTAATGATTTATTCATTTTGATATAGTTTTATTAATTTCAGAGAAAAAGGGAGAGGGAGATAGAAACATCAATGATGAGCCAAAACGGGTTTGGCTCAGTGGATAGAGCGTCAGTCTGGGAATGAAAGGTCCCAGGTTTGATTCCAGTAAAGGCATGTACGTTGGTTGCGGGCACATCCCTGGTAGGGGGTGTGCAGGGGGCAGCAGGATGTTTCTCTCTCATCGACGTTTCTAGCTCTGTCTCTCTCCCTTCCTCTCTGTAAAAAATCAATAAAATATATATTTTTTAAAAAGAAACATTGCCGAAACCGGTTTGGCTCAATGGATAGAGTGTCGGCTTGGGGACTGAAGGGACCCGGGTTCGATTCCGGTCAAGGGCATGTACATTGGTTGTGGGCACATCCCCAGTGGGGAGTGTGCAGGAGGCAGCTGGTCGATGACTCTCTCTCATTGATGTTTCTGGCTCTCTATCTCTCTCCCTTCCTCTCTGTACAAAATCAATAAAATATATTTTAAAAAAAGAAAAAAGAAAAAAGAAAAGAAACATCAACAATGAGAGAGAATCATTGATTGGCTGTTTCCTGCATGCCCCCCGCACTAGGGATTGAGCCTGCAATCCAGGCTTGTGCCCTGACCAAGAATTGAAACCCTCCTGGCTCATAGGTCAACATTCAACCACTGAGCTATGTGGCTGGGATCCATTGATTTTTAAAGAGAGAGTGGAAGGGAGAGGGGATAGGAGAGAGAGAGAGAGAGAGAGAGAGAGAGAGAGAGAGAGAGAGAGAGAGAGAGAGAGAGGGAGAAACATCAACATGAGACAGACACATTGATTGGTTGCTTCTCATGCATGCCCCGAGCAAGGCCAGGGATTCAAGCTGAGGTACATTCCCTTGACCAGGAATGAAACCTGTGACCCTTTAGTCTGAGGGCCAACACTCTAATCACTGAGCTAAATTAGCTAGGTCCAGATCAGTTTCTAATCTAGAGCAAATTTTGCCCCAGTACTAAGTGTGCTTTTGAGGACTCTGTCCAATGCTTAATATTTTAAGAAGTCTCTCGGTTTTGGCTGGCGCGAAGACAAAATATGCCCAGCTCTGTGTTAGCTCCAGGAAATGTTCGGTGTGCTGCTCTCTGTGGATCCCTCCCTGGCCTCCTAGAATATCACCCAGGCAGCTCTGAACAGTACTCAGCTAAAGACTGTGGGGCTCCCTCTGCACATGTCTGGGGCTCTCTTTATGCCCTCCTCTCTGGTACTCCGCTCCACAAACTCTAGCTGCTTCAGTTTTTCTGAACTCTGATTTCTGTCTCCTGACCTCTGTGAGGTCGCTGGCCTCTGTCTGTGTTCTCCTTCCTGTAATGAGACCTGGAAACTGTTTTTGAGACAGCATCCTGGGGCAACTGTAGGCCCCACATCATTCATTTCCCCTTTGAGAGTCATCATAACCCTGTGCGGCCTGTTGTCCGAAGCTTGAAAACAGTTGCTGGATGAATTTTTGTTTGTTTTTCTGGTTGTTTTCAATGGAGGGAAATGCCCGTGGCAGCTAGTACTTCATGGATGCAAGTAGAAGGCTCTTTGTTCTATTTTCAACTTTAAAAATCCGAGGGGAGATCTTTGGTTCACCGTATGTCTTAGTGATCACTCAGGAACCAATCAAGGTGATAAAAATGTGAGAAAAGAACACCTTGTAGGATTGGAGTTCGGGAAAATCATTCCCCAATACAAAATGGAGAGGGTTCCAGAAGGCAGGGGAAAGAGTGCAGGCAAAAACAGATATCCAGCATCCACTACAAACAGCAGTTCATGCGAAAAGGAATGTCAAGTGAACCCACGAACAGAGCTGTGAGAAGCTCATTGTCTAGAAGATGTATCTATTTCCTGGCCTCGTGTTTTCCAGAATCAAGGACAAACTGGAGGGGTCTTCGATGGAGAGAAGCAATATGTGTAACAGTTACACGGAAAGAGATAAAGTGAAATGAAAAAGCAACTTTCTTCTCTGTTCTTTCCCCAATTCTGTTTGTGTAAAACGTGTGTTCCCCAGAAGCTTGCTCTGTGAAACACACTTTTTATTCCCAACCCTGAGTGACCTCTGGGGTTGGCCCCATTAATTTTCTGTTCCTCTTCAGATACCAGAAAGACCTCCAGACGCTTTAATCCCATGAATAGTCTCATTTCATTAACTTAAATGTCCAGTTCTGTGTATAGACTAACCTGAGGATTCCATGCAACAGGGGACATGCTCCAGGAGAGAAACAGCATGCATAGGGCTTCTCCATTTTTCCACCAAGAGGATCTCTTTGAATCACAGTAGTCCACTCTGCAAGATTGTTAACAGCATTTTCTGACCTCTCCAGGAAATGGAGTATGGGTGCGGGGAGGCCCCAGGAAGGTCCCCTTGGCTTGGTACTGTGCTGATCTGTCTGGCAGGTGCCCAAGCTTTCTCCTGTGGGCTATTGTCTTAACCCTATTACCTTGGGAAAGGTATGGTGAGTTAGACACAGATCAAGAGAAAGACACCAGAAAGCTTTACAGTTTTCTTACACTCACAGGTCCTTGGACAGAACACCGCATGCCTGCAGGGCCACTCAGGGTAAACACAGGTGAATTGCAAGGCAGAGGGAGAGAGTGTAACAGTGGTTTCTGCAGGAGAAAAGGACCAGGTGGACAAGCAGTCTGATTGGCTAATCTGAATAATTCCCGTGGGCTCTCAGGCACAGGGGCTGCCCCTGGTTGTCTGGTACCTGGTCCTAGGTGATTAGGGCAGGTGTACAGAGGCCTGGATTTGACAACCCGATAAGAGAGGTGGTTGGGGGTGTGGACCTAATTGGCTGCCTAAGAAGGGAAACTGACCCACCTCTAGCCAGGGCCTCAAAACTGGGTCAAGACAGCATTTCAACAAATATTACAGCTGGCCAATGTTGCTAAGGGGTTAGAGGGTTGGACCTGTGTACCAAGGGGTCTCAGGTTTGATTCCTGGTCAAGGGTACGCACCTGGGTTGCAGGTTCAATCCCCTGCCCTGGTCAGGGAGTGTAGGGGAGGCAACCAGTGGAGGTGTCCCTTTTGCATCTGTTTCTCTCTTTTTCTCTCTCCCCTTCCTCCCTCCCTTCCACTCTCTCTAGAAAGCAATGGGAAAATATCCTCATGTGAGGATTAACAACAATAAAAACACACAAAAAAAGCCCCCACAAAACCACACACACACACACACACACACACACACACATACATACACACACGACAGGTATTTTATGGGTTCTTTGGAGACCCTTGTCATAGACCCTTATTGTGATACATTTCCAGCCCCCTTTTGCCAATGCTTGAGGTTTCCTTGCCACTGCCAGCTCTCTCCTGCGCCTCTCAGATCTGACACTGAATTATACATCACTTGAACATCAGCAAAGGAGAGCAGTGCTCTTAGGGAACACCGGAGCAGGAGGTGAGGAAGACAGCAGCAGAGCTGAGGAGCAGGGGACAAAGGTTTTCCAAGCATAAGGGAACAGTGTGCAAGGACCTACGTGATAAGGGCCAGGACTAGGACGAGGAGAGAGAGGCACTTGTCCAGTGACAAAATTGAAGGGAATGCCATAAAATGCAGTAATCAAGATAAAGAAATACAATATGTATTTTTAAATATAAGAAAAAAAGAGTGTGTACAGAATGCATCATTTCCCTTTTGCCTAAGGCTCCCAATGGCTCAGCAGGACAGTGGTGTTCTAGCTTCCTCCTGGCCAGGTCATACCTCTGAGCAATTCCACACTAAATACTGGGTAGCCCCTTGCAAAAGGCCTTCCCGGGGAAGCAACCTTCTAGCTGAGCCTCAGAAAAGCGGAGGCGTATGGACAGCATGGACAGGGATGAACAGCACATATGTTTGCTGTTCAAAACGTCTGAAGCAAAGAGAGCCCCGCGGATGTCTGGGGAACGGTGGTGGCAGGGAGTCTGTAGGCAGTGCTTGGACCAGGTAGGCAGATGCCCAGACGTGGGGGCAGATGGGAGGGGTAGGTGGAAGCCCCTCGGGAGCTAGCGCTGTGTCTGAAGAAGGGATGGACGCCTGCATCCCAACCGGGAACAGGTAGACAGATTCCCAAGGTCCAAGTCCACGCCTCCGTTCCCCCAGCCCTAGCACTGCGGGTGGGGCGACAGCCAGCTCCGTGCCCAGCCGGCGGGGCCACCTCAGGGCGCCCCTGGAGCGGCCGGTGCCCAGGGCGCACGGAGGAGCTGCCCGAGACCGGCGGGCGGGCCGGGGCGAACGGGCGGGGCGGGTCAAGCCGGTGCGCGCCCCGCTGGCCGCCCAATCGCCGCGGGCCCCCCGGGCCCCGGGGGCTGGGGCCGCCGCAGCGTGTGCCGCGGCTGCGCCGACGCGCGGGCGGGCGCAGGGCGGCGGGGCGCGCGCTCAGTCTGGCGGCCGCGGCCGTGCGCGAACGGACGTGCCCGCAGCGCCGCAGCCGCCCGCCGCCCCGCAGCCCCGCGCCCGCAGCCGCCGCCCGCCCGCCAGGGCCGCCCGCCCGCCCGCCATGGTGTCATGGATCATCTCCAGGCTGGTGGTGTAAGTGGCCTTCCTCCCCGCGCCCTGCCCTCCCTCCCGCTCCGCGCGGCCCTCGGCGGCGTCCGCCCGGCGCTGCGGCTATTAATACGCGGCGGCCGCTAATTTTAGCAGGTACAGTAGCGGCCGAGGTCGCCGGCGAGCTGTCCCTCCGGCCGGCCGGGCTCCGGGGGCCGCCGGGCGGGGCCGCGAGCGCCAGGCGCCCCGGCGCTTTGTTCCCGCAGCCGGAGGGGGTCGCCGCGGCCCCGGGTGGGCGCGCCGCGGGGACCCGCGCGTCCCCTTCGGGAGAGGTGCGGGCTGGGGTCGCCCGGCGCTGCGCTCAGCGGGCAGCCGCCAGGCTTTGGTCAAACGGGAAAATGACAGAAAAGAGGCCCCGATGAGCCCGGGGCGCTGCCTGCAGGGTCGGCGCGCGGGGAAGGGTGGAGAGATGGAGGCGGGGCTCCCCGTGGGGCTGAAAACACTCCTTTTTAGGTTTCTCCCATTGACAGCAGCCCAGGCGAGTCCTCCGTGTCCGATCCCGTTGGCGGGGGGCATGGGGAGAGGGAGGGACAGACCTCTCCGGGGAAATGTCCAAGGGACAGCCACCTGGGCCGCTGCGATGGCATCTCCCCGGCCTTCAGAGCGGAGTCATCCGGGGTGAGGCCTGTGTGAAGTCACTGGGTGTGGGCGTGGGGGTCGTTTTTCTCTGTCAAGCCCCAGAGCTGAGGAGATACATTGGAAAGCTCCTTTCCTCCTGGATTTATTCCCCTTTGGAGATAGACATGTCTATCCCAGGTCTTCTCGTTTCCTACATTCTCGCCGGAGTCAGGACAGATTTTGATGCCTGCTCGGTAGAACCAGGGCTGACATTGGGGTGGGGTTGGGGGGGCAGACTGGGAGGTGTCCCTCAGGCTTTTCCTTTGTCTGGACTCCCTTGATCAGGCACCATCCTCTCCCTACGTTTGGGAACATCTCCTATTTCCTGCAGTTCTTGACTGGTTTTCAGAGAAGCAGGCAGGGGCAGCCTTCGGAAGTCTCTCTCGGCATTGTCTTCCTGGCCACCATTCTGGGCTTTCCCACCAAAGCCAGAGAGCGTGCCTCAGCCCAGGTCCCTCCTTCCCTGCAGGCCCCTCCACAGCTGTTGTTCCTGCCGGGGGTTTGTGCTGTACCTCGAGGTGGCATGTTAAATATTTGGGAGCTTTCTGCGGGCAGCGCTGGCATGAATAATACAGGGAAGAAGCTGGCACGCCTTGCCCCACCTCATGCCTGACCAAAGCCTGCTTTGCCTCAGGGTGGTAATTGCTCTCCTGAAGGAGTGCTGTGATCTTCATCCTCGCCTGTGGCTTCTGGGCGGGCTTCGAGTGGGGCCAGAGAATGCCAGTCCGCCCGGCTGGGGGCTCACTCTCTGTAGATACAATTGGGCTGGGGAGCGTGGGCTTCTGGTCTGGGGTCGTCCATGTGACCGTTTTTTATTTTATTCACGTACCCCCAGCTACACAAAGCAATTGAAGGGCTGGAGAGGAAGGTGTGTATTTGGGAGGGGTACCGGGGACTTGCTTTTACTTTCTAAAACTAAATCACTTCCCCGAGGTAGAGCTTCAGAGACCTTCGATGACTATGGGAAACTGCCCCTCAAGTCAGCCAAGATCCTCTCAAGTGAGTTTTGTGGGGTTCGGATTGTTATTCCCACTGTCAGCTCCAGAAGGTCAGAGGTATCACCTGTCCCCGTCCCTCCCAGTCCTTAGTTCTCCATAGAAACCCAGCATGGCGTGTCAGCGGGGAATTAGTAAAACCGCTTTAGCCCTGGCCAGAAAGCTCAGTGGTTAGAGTTCTGGCCCACGCATAGAAGGGTTTTGGGTTTGGTTCCCTGTCAAGGGCATGTACCTGGGTTGTAGGTTCGATAGGGAGGCAACTGGTTGATGTGTCTCTCTCACATCGATGTTTCTCTCTCTCTATTGCTCCCTCCCTTCCACTCTCTCTAAAGATCAATGGAAAAAATAGCCTCCAGGAGCATTAACAACAAAAACCACTTTCATAAGCAGTATCTGTTTCTTGTAAGTAGTACCTTACTTACAGGTACTTAAGTTTCTTATAATGAACAGATGTTCATTATAAGAAAATTAGACAATAACTCAGAGATGGCTAATTATCATTTTGAGAGGTATAATCTTCAAGATCTTTTTCTCTACATGTATATACGTACATTATATTTATAATTGAAGGAAATCATGGATTTAGCCTAAATATCACCATACCTCTTAGCAAGGAGTAGGAATACTGCATTGAGACTCACAACACCCTTGGTTCAAATCCCAGTCCTGCTTCTTGCCAACAGATCGCAATTTACAAGAGATCCTAGTTCACAGGCTAGTCCACCTGATGTTTCTGTGCAAAGATTTCAATGACAGAACATATTTAAATGGCCAAGCACCACGAAGAGCAGTAAATGATGATTTCTTCTTCCGGCCCTACCTGGCACCTAAGAGGGTGAAAGAGTTCTGGAAAGGGCTCTGGCCGGTTTGACTCAGTGCATAGAGCATCAGCCTGTCAAGGGCATGTGCCCAGGTTGGAGCTTGATCTCCAGTGTGGGGCATGCAGGAGGCAGGTGATCGATGATTCTCATCATTGATTTTCTCTCTCTCCCTCTCCCTTCCTCTCTGGGGGGGGAAAAAAAAAAGAGTTCTGGAAGGGGCTCTCTGACTTTATCTATTCCTGTGGTTTTCAAACTGGCTTTCCTGAGGGCACACAGATCTGGGCTCCCCAGCCCTAAGTCAGCACAAGCAACTCCCCTTTTGTTTTATATATGGGGGTTTTAGATAAAATAGAACATGCAGAGTGTACAGGTTTTATTACTAATAAAACCCATTGCTCCTGTCCTCCCCTCTCATCTGTAAAACTGCAGAGGGAATGTGCCTTGCCCGATGACATGAGGTGAACTGGTGAAGAAATAGGCTCTGGAGCTTTGGTCCGATACCCTCTCCGCTTCTGTACTCCAGCTTGACTATGGCCCTAAAATTGATCTCTTTCAAGCTCCCACAATCTCTGGTATGAAGCGTTATGATTTTTGTTCACAAGCCCCATTTTCTATAAGCAATTTTTTCGTGGTTTTATAAGCCTCTGTCACATCAGAAAACATTTCAGGAAGACCTAGTACTATGTTCTGAGGATGGAGAGGAGTCTTCCTTCTAACCAGAGGCCTCAGGATGAGCTGATGGCACCTAGGCACAGCCAGCTGGTGCTGTGGAGTTTGTGAGTGTTTTCAGGTCAGTGATCGTGGCTCGTTTCCCTCTCCAATCTGTTGCCCCCTTACAAGACTCATTTTTGAAGTACCTAGCACCTGAGGGCACCGAAAAGGGTGGTTGTGTTGAAGGAAATCAGAGGTCCTGGGCTAAGCAGATAAGTCTGCCGACATTATCCCCAGCAGACGGAAGTCAATAGAAATATCCCTAGAATATTTTTGCATTGATTTTTAGAGAAAGTAGGAGAGAGGGAGGAGGAGGGGAGAGAGAAAACATCTAAATGAGAGAGGTACATCGACTGGTTGCCCCCCATATGTGCCCCAGGCACTGCACCCATGGTATGTGCTCTTGACCAGGAACTGATCCCTCGACCATTCAATCCCTGGCTGACACTAACCACTGAGCGAACCAGCCAGGGCTATATCTTGTTATCTTTACAAACAACTCAAGACTTAGGCAGGATTGCCGAAACCGGTTTGGCTCAGAGGATAGAGCGTCAGCCTGAGGATTGAAAGGTCCCAGGATCGATTCCGGTCAAGGGCATGTACGTTGGTTGCGGGCACATCCCCAGTAGGGGATGTGCAAGAGGCAGCTGATTGATGATTCTCTCTCATCGATGTTTCTAACTCTCTATCCCTCTCTCTTCCTCTCTGTAAAAAAATCAATAAAATATATATTAAAAAAAAAAAAAAGACTTAGGCAGGAATTTCAACTGGGGGGCACACAGAGGTTGCCCTGTGCCTTCTTGGGAGAGTTGCTCTGTTTGAAAGCATTTATTCTACAGAGTAAGTGCTGCCTCATTGAATGCAGACAGAAAGTTGACTGATGGCCAGAATGTTAGATCCAGAGCATCCCACCATTGCTGGGGTCAGTGGACAAAGACTTCAGGTTACTCCATGAGGAAAAAGAGTCCTACTTCAATAAATTTTCTAAAATAACTGTTAGGTGTGCGGGGGGGAAAAAACCTTATTTCCACATTGACATCTCTTTTTTAAATGTTAGTTTTTCGAAAGTACAGTGTGATATTTAAAATAGAACCTTAGTTGCCGAAACCGGTTTGGCTCAGTGGTAGAGCATCAGTCTGTGGACTGAAGGGTCCCAGGTTCAATTCATGTCAAGGGCATGTACCTTGGTTGCGGGCACATCCCCAGTAGGGGGTGTGCAGGAGGCAGCTGGTCGATGTTTCTCATGGACGTTTCTAGCTCCCTATCTCTCTCCCTTCCTCTCTGTAAAAAATCAATAAAATATATTTAAATAAATAAATAAATAAATAAATAAATAAATAAATAAATAAATAAAAATAAAAAATAAAATAGAATCTTAGTTTGTGGCTGAAAATTTGGCCAAGTGCTGGGACTGTGATTGAAACATAAAGTCCATGGGTCAGCGATGCACAAACGGGGCGAAGTAGAAGGAAAGTGGGTCATCCCCACGATGGTCCCCAACTGTTGCAAAACAAGTGGGAAAGAAGAGAAGGACCATAAAGTCTTAAACATAAGTTTGCTTTCCCTTGGGGCATGCTTTTAAAAAGTGGAATGCAGAAAAATGATCCTGTTAATGGAGGGTTCGGGCTGGTTGAGGAGTTATTTCCTGGCATGGTGTTGTGATACAGGGCAGGAGCTGGGTAAATATTTAAATTGAATTGTGAGAGGGAAGATGCTGGGCTGGAAGCATATTTGGGTTCTATCTCTAGCGCTGGTCTGACTCAATGTCAGAGTCCTGAGGTCAGACTGCCCCCGGGCCCAGGTCCCCATCTGTAAGACAAGTGTTGGCCAGCACTACCTT